AAGGAGGGAAAGAGGGAATTTGTTCATACTTATGGTACTACTTTTCAACAAGTTGCAAATACACTGAATTAAGTACTGAACTAAGTACTATTTTTAATGCATTCTCTAATAGTTTCACATAACTCTTAGTCACTGTACCATAAATTCAGATTCAAACATAAAAACAATCATTGCCCTTTTTGAATCTTAATGGTAAGATTTCACAGTGACCTTTGCATTTCCATGTTTCTGCCTATTTTAATTCCCCCTTTCTGATTTTTGAGAAGTTCATGTATTTCTCGTTTCAAGAATTAATATAAGTCCACCCCATGAATTTTGTATTCAGATGTCCTGAATAATTAAAATCATTCATAATGCCAATTTTTTCTTATGAAAAACTAATTTTCAATATATAGATAGAATCTTATATAAACTTTCTCTATACTAATGCCTGTCAATAAAGGAAGAGTGATCTTTCCTTTATTTTATAACCCCCAACAGAGTGCCTTCCTAGGGAAGCTCATAAAACATAGTTGTATTGATGAGAAAATTAAGTATACAGATAAATTAATGGATTATCATATTTTCTGATACAGAAGACATAAAATGGTAATGATGTATCCAAATATAAGAGAAAATTTCAAATAACAGTCGAAATGGAGCCAATGATGTTTGGTATACTGTATTGCAGATTTTCCTTCCTTCCTTCCTTTCTTCTTTTCTCCTCTCTCTCTCGCTTGAATTTAGGGCCTGGGCACTGTCTCTTTTCTTTGTCACTCACAACCAGCACTCTACCACATAAGTCACAGCTCCACTTTCAGCTTTTTGGTGATTTCTCGGTGATATGAGTCTCACAGACTTTCCTTCCCAGGCTGGCTTCACACTGCAATCCTCAAAGCTCTACCTTCTGAGTAGCTGGGACTATAAGTGTGAACCACTGTTACCTGGCTGCATCTTTCTTTACAAAATGTTGGGAAATACATATCACATAGGTTAGACTTAACTGGGGACAATTCTATGATTCCTTAAGTAACGATTAATGTATGGCTGGGAGTGGAAATGTTTAACATTTGATGCAGTGTTTTAGATTTATCAAGTTCTTCATTTTGAAGTAAATGCTATTCTGTTTTATACATATGACAAATGCAAATCTTAAGAGAATCATTAGACATTCTCCTTTAGGTTAACCACCCCTATACACTTATTCTAAGTGTATTTAATATTTACTTATTACTTTTAAAGTGATGCTATTTATATTTGACTTCAGAAAGCAAACCTTACCAGTAGGATATAATGGATTAAGCTCTGGAAATAAAGTTAGAACAGACACATGTTTTTAAACTCTATGTAGCTCAAAAGCAAAAACACTGTAAAATACACGCTTATACTTTGGGGGTAATAGTGTGTAATAATCTATACTTAGTTCTAAAGTTCAGTCAAAGAGGCCTTCCAGGAGGTGTGAGTGTGGGTTGCAGAGTGGAGAATACTTCCAGAAGCTAAGCAGAAGAGTTCCATGGGATGTTCAGAAAAGTCAACAGTCCAGTTATTCTCAAGAAAATGTGTTGCTGCAGACCAGCAATTAATGGTCACACTGCTCCTCCCTTTCATTTATGCCTTCTTCTTCTTCAGGAAATGCTGGCTCATTCTGGCCTTTCAGGTGCTTAACCCCTAAAATGATTTAAAAACAAAAAAGGCAAAATTTAAGTGAAAGCAGATTCTGTTTTGTTGCAAGAGAAGTGGAAAGTTTTCATTGTGTCTAAGTGTTCTTCACTTTTCGCTGTATTTGGTGTTGGTATAATTTGGGGAGGGAAGGGAAAAAACAAATTGTTTTAAATAGGGATACAGGTGGACCCATTGCAACAATGAGATGTACAAGATGCTATGTTGAAAAACAAACTTTACAACTTTGTGGGGGGCAGGGGAAAGTATAGTTCTGGAGATGGGAGGGCAGGATGGTAGGGAAAAATACTAAGCAGGAGGCAACAATGCTTGATAAGAAATGTACTCATTACCTTGCTCATGTAATTGTAACCCCTCTGTATGGTATTTTCACAATAAAAAACTTATTAAAAAAGAAAAAAAGAAGAAAAGCAAAACAAAAAATGTCAACAATGTAATCCTATATAAACTTTTTAATTTACTTACCGGTAAAAATTTTACCCAGCCAAATTTCCATTAGAGCAGGTTATCTTTTATAATTAAAGGATTGCATCACAGTCTATTAAAACTCTATTAACCAAAACCCTGCTTGCAGGCTCTTATTATAATTCTGATGTATCATTTAGTTCAAATATTGCTTTTGGCATCCCTGTATTCAGCTACAAGGAGAACCATTGAAACTCCTAAGAACAAAAGATTGTGTATGTGCCATTTCTATACTGTATAAACAACAAAACAATCACAATACTGTTAGTCTTCTATTGGATTATGGAACTCCCTTCAAAGTGTTTCAATAACTGGGCTTAGAGATTGGAAAGAAATATTGGCTTACTTTTGCCTGCTCTGCAAGTCTTTCCCTATATAATGAGCCTCCTATTTCTCCAGCTCTTCTTTTCACCTTCCCCACTCTACCAATGATAACCTACTCTTCCCTTTTCTCAATCCCCCAGGCTTTGCATCTTCCTCCTACCCCTCCTGGCATGCCCAATTACACACCAGTCATCTTTCAAGTTCAGCTTACCTCCTCTGAAGATTACCTCAACCCTCCATTGCACCTGGATCACCTCTTGCATCAGTTCCCTTACAAACCTATTTGTTAATATCATCCTCATTAGCTCAATCTCTTTGATGTCAGGAAATAGTTGCAATTTGGATTCTTCTTTTGGCCCAGTGCTGGCCAAACATTAGATACTTATTAAAATTTATTGTCTACATAACTGATCAAATTAATGAAAGAACAGTTTTGCATGCCCTTTTCTCAATGTCACATTAACCTCCTTCAGATACTTTTCAAAATTAATTCAAATTTGGAATATGAAATAGAAGGCCACAGGTATAATCATTCATAAAATTATGAACCTATAAAATGATCTCTCACTTCCTTTGTTAAGACACTATAATAGTTGATACTCTGCACATTTGGTAATGTTTAAAATGGAAAGTTTCCTACATGTTTTATGTTTTAGTACATTGGTTTATGATATTTGCTAAGTACTACTGAAAACACTCCTAATGGACAAATGAAGGAAATTACTGCTCATGTTTGCTATGAAATAAAAATTTAATAAATATATGAACTTGTAAGTCCCAGAGTACAGTATGGCAGACATCCTTGGACCTGGTGGATTAACCTGCAAAAATCCTTGATCAGGTATAATAATATTTAAATATTTTAATTTCATCTGCAAATACAGATCTTTCGTGATTCCTGTTAACCCAAGATCATAGAAAGAAATTCACATTAAGAAATTAAATTTATTTCACATTATATAAACTCCATGGAAAAGAACTCTAAATGGGGAATAGTTTATTGAATATCCAAAGGATCACTCAGCTGTTATCTTAAGTATATGAATCATTAAGCCTCACAGATCCAGTACCTGGATGGTGAACTTAGAACTAAAGACAATAAAGTAATTTGTTTAAAATTATAAGGTGGTGTAATGTTAAAAGAAGTTCTGACACATCATAGTCCCTAAATATATACTGAATAAGTGAGTAAATAAACTTCCATTATCTAATTAATTCTTATTTTTAGCATTTTGGAGGCTGACCCAACTTTCTTATCATTTGCTAAGATCCATCATAGATTTAAGGAACCAAGCCTAAACCTGGCTCAGAAGGTGATAAGTTCCTTCTGCAGGAAACCTCCAGCGCCCTGTCATTTTCCTTGAGTTTAGGTTCACTGTATACATCCAAGTTTGCAAAGGTTCTATTAACTCTAAAATTCATTTCCTTCATCCACAAGTAACGAAATTATGTTTGAGATGGTGTTCAGTAAATAAAGCTCAATGACAATGCAAACATTCATTTGTCTGAACAAAGGAATCAAATGTTGAAAAAAATCAGGAATTAAGATGTCTAGCTTATATAACTATTAGTAAGTATTCATTTACAACACTTGAATATAGGTTCTCTTGCTTCCATAGATTGACATTTTACTTAATTTATAGTAAGGGTCACATAGTTATAAAAGAAAACCAAATCCTTTATGAAGGAAAATCATTCACTTGGGCAAGTTTTGGGAGTTCCTTTCGCAGTCTAGTCAATTGTTAAGTAAAGTATATCCACAGGAAAAGTCTGATGAGGCAAAAGTTGTGTACATCTTATTTATCCCAGAGTTTTTGTCTAGAATAATTACAACCAATTCTTTGGTTTTCAGTAACTCTGCTGATGCCTTCTTTCAATATGACAATGGAAATTTAGCTAATTTGTGGTTTGAAACAGCCTTTGTACCAATATTTCCCTTTTCTTATCTGAAATATTTACTTGGCTATAAATGCAGTGTTGATGAACTTAAAGGTGTGACATCTACTTAGGACTTTAATAATGTCTTTGTCTTTTTCTTTCATCCCCAAACACAGAGGTTTAAATAATTAAAGGGGTGGAGGAAAGTAAACTGGAGATGGTGATGAAATTCCCAGAGACTCCTCTGCTAAATCTCATGAACGTAAGGAAAACTCTTCCACCTGCAAATGGACTATGGCTTGGCACTGGGAGAGAGCCTGCAAGGGCAAGCACAGACCCAGCTTGGCTGCCTGAAAGAGGATGCAAAGAATCCAAGGAAATACAATGGAGGTACATTCTCCAATACAAAGTGAATACAGAGGAAAATACATCAGACCAGGATATGTATTATGCATATATAAGGAGAGATGGAGAAAAGAAAGCAGACTGAGCAAAAGAAGAAAAGCAAAAGAAATAAATACTGTCTCTCATCAGTATGTTCTTTTCAACTCTGTGGTTCAGGTGATTAGATGTGGTTCAATTTGGAATAGATGAAGAGGTAAAACAACCAAGTGAAGAATTATATACAGCTGATTAAATAAAAGAAAGTGTGTATTTGCCATATCACACTTAAGTTTTGTTCTTTTTTTAAATGTTTGCAGTAAAAGATGGAAGGCTTTTTATATTTTAGATTCCACAAAATTTGGGGAAGGAAAGAGTTGACACAATGAACAACTCATATTTGTAAAGGTTTCTAGAGCTAGAATAATGGCCAAAGCAATGAAAGTAGATGTGAGTGGAGATTTTTTCGGTCGTGGAGCCTGAACTCTGAGCAATGTCCCTCAGATCTTCAGCTCAAGGCTAGCGCTCTACCACTTGAGCCACAGAGCCATTTCTGGCTTTTTCTGCTTATATGGCACTGAGGAACTGAACCCAAGGTCTCATGCATGCAAGACAAGCACTCTACCATTGAGCCACCTTCCCAGCCCATGAATGGAATTTTTTTTTGTTTTAGGGAAGGTAATTTTGTTTCCAAAAATTAGAGTATGAGAGCAGCGTTAATTATGCTAGTGAGTTTCAGCAATCTCATACAAGAGTTAGCTGTTTCTAGCAGCAGAGCTCTAGACTGTGCTGGGGTACTGTCAATGGCAGGGCCAGCAGTTTCAGAACAGGGCTTTTCTCTAATGCTATGTTGGTTAGATTTTTCCCACAAGGTACTTCCCAGGGCTGGGATCCACTGTTCATGAGGGCCATTGAAAGGGATCATAGGGATTTAAAATAGCATTATGAAAACACTTTTGTAGAGAAGTTGTAGGTGAAACTGGGATGTTTAACATGGAGAAAGTCAAGAGAGGACAACAGAGGTTATCTTTCAACTCCTAAAATATTTGAAAAAATAAAATTAATCTACGTATGATTGCTATATCATGTATGGAGGGTCCATGTCTGACATGTATGAGAAGATAGTTCCCAAATTCTCTGTGTTTGCTCAGCAATAAGCATGTGAATGAGCTCCCCATCACTGTACATGTTCAAGTCTAAGTTAAACCTCCACCTCTGAGGCAGGTTGTAGATGGACCTACAAAAGCTTGACTCATCCTGAGATGCTATTAATCTACAAAGAAAATCCATTTTTTAAAACAAATTCACACAAACATAAGTGGATTAGGAGCAACAAACAAAGTAGATTATTTTTGTTGTTGTTTTGTGCAACCAAATACTTTAGACATTATAAATCATTTTAAAGTCCTCTAGGGAATCTGTGGGAGTATTCTGGAGAGCTTTTGACCCTCTTGGAATTTTATTTATAGTCATATTTGTGCTTTTTTGAAGAAGTCTCATAGCTCTTAGCAGAATGTCTGAGTCTCTGATCTCTAAATAATCATAAATACTACTCCAACCTCTTCAGTTTAAAGATAAACAATTCAGTTGGTATAGTAATAAATAACTAAGTCATCTGGAGTATTTTAATAGAGAAAAGAGAAGAACTTCAATTTGTAGAATAAAAACTTGAACTCTCATTTATGAGCAATATGCTGGTTAGCTTAAAGGGGAACAGCAAGCTTGAAAATAGTATTTGCAAGGTACACTAAACAAGCATTTACTTTCTGAAAAGTTACTGGGTTCAAAGAAATATCAGTGACCTTAGGAAGGCCACTTGCTAATAGTTCTTTCAGTATTGACCTCATTTTACTAAAAATATTAATCTAGAGATATTTAATTCAATCTTTATATGGTACAGAAAAGCTGTTTGAGAAAAGCCTATCATCTAAGATCAAAAA